GGGTCCTCCTGCATGTCAGTCCCAGAGCGTACTATTTAGCTACTAGAAGTAACTGACTGAGCTACTCTTTAGATAATAGTGTAGGCGCTGTATTATCTTTTCGTAAAATTTTGAGGTCGGTGTACAAAATATGATTACTTTATGAATTTTGACCCGCTGATACCGAATATGAAACTTACTCTTATAAAATTTGCGGTAAGTTGATAGTTTCTGAGTTATAAATTTTTGAAAATTGAAAATTCTTGATTTTCAACAATTTTGATGATTAATTACGAATAAATAAATTACTTAACACCAGGTTTCATGCACGTGATTGTAAAGAAAAATACTCAAAAATTCCATTGAAACAATAGAATCCGGTTATAATTTGTATTAAATGAAAAATACGTGATCAAAGTTATTGCATTTGTAAGAGCTATTTATTAGAACATAAAGTATAAAAAGTCGTACCTAAGTGATCTGCTCTGATCAGAGCAGATCTACTTAGGTACGACTTTTTATACTTTATGTTCTAATAAATAGCTCTTACAAATGCACTAACTTTGATCACGTATTTTTCATTTAATACAAATTATAACCGGATTCTATTGTTTCAATGGAATTTTTGAGTATTTTTCTTTACAATCACGTGCATGAAACCTGGTGTTAAGTAATTTATTTATTTGTAATTAATCATCAAAATTGTTGAAGATCAAGAATTTTCAATTTTCAAAAATTTATAACTTAGAAACTATCAACTTACGGAAAATTTTTTAAGAGTAATTTTCATCTTAAAATTGCCTAAAATATTGAAAAAAAAATATCCGATCTCAAAAAAAATTATTTCTCAAATAATTGTTTAAACAAATGGCTATAAACAATAAATGGCCCGAGATTTCGCAAAAATGACTGCGATATTCGGTTTCAGCGGGTCAAAATGCATAAAGTAATCAAATTTTGTACACAGACCTCAAAATTTTACGAAAAGATAATACAGCGCCTACACTATTATCTGAAGAGTAACTCAGTCAGGTACTTCTAGTAGCTGAATGGTACGCCCTGGGACTGACATGCAGGAGGACCCAGGTCAAATCCCCAACATCGCCAATTGTTTTTCAACGATAATTCGACTTTAAATTACGGAAAATTGATATAAAATACATAATTTCTAATTTACAAGTAGGAATAAAATAAATTTTACTATTATTTTTATTTTATAAACTTTTTTATAAATTTATTCTGTTTCAATCGAACCAGATCAGATTTGATCTAATCAGATCAAATTTGATCTGGACAGATCTGGCCAAAATCCAGATCTGCTCAGATCTGATGAATTTGATCTAATTTGATCAGAGCAAATCTAAACTTTTTTTTCCGGGATCCCATTTAAATAACATAGAAAAATATTCTTTTAAAGTTTGGAATTTTGTAACGTGACAACGAGCTACTTTATAGGTAAAACTAAACTTGTTAAAAAATGTGGAACTTCACTATTCTGCCTAGTAGCCGACTATATTTAACAAATATAAATAATGCTGTGAAGCGGGAAAGAATAGGAGTTACGGATAATTATTACGTGAAGCGTTCCAACATTCACGTAACAGGATAATTGGTAGGAAAGGATTGAGAAAGGATTGTGGAGAGGATCATCTTAATGTGAGTTTATAGAATATGTGAGAAAAAATTATTAGATAGCTCCTAGTCCGTAGATCCTAGAACACTGGGATAAGAAAAAATCCTTAATAAAGGACAAAAAGAATAGAATTAAGACGTTATTGCTTAATTCCATCCAAATGAGGTTCAGGTATGCAAATACATTGTATTGTAATTTTGAACATTAAAAAATTAAATACACGACCTGGAATTATTAAATAATAAATTGGTTTCAACTCCTTTTTTTTCTTTTTCAATAGCCCCAAGTGTCCCCTATCAAACAGCGAAAGTCTATTCCTGTATCTATAATAACGTTCGAGATATTATAAAATCAAAATTGAAAAACTGGAAAAATTGGAAAATTTCGAATTTGTATATCTTTTGAAAAAAAATTTTTTTTTTTCCTTTTACGGAACTTCGCTAGATGATAAAAGAAAACTTCTGACTAAAATTTGTCCAAATCGAAAGGGTTTGTTTTCAACTATTGTTTGATTTGACTTGGAATGACCCATAAGTAAATATTTTTCGTTAATAATTAACAAAAATTAGCATTCGTCAAATTATTAAGAATTTTGGGCAAGCATTCTATTAAATATATGCATACTATTATTTTAAAGTTAATAATAATGGGTTTTTAATACATATAAATTGATTTTCTTGTGTTTAAGACAAAAAAAACCGTAATTTTTAATAGTCTGAAGTTTGAGGCTCGATATCTTTGAAACGGCTTGACTTAGGCAAAATTTCAATCAGACCTTTTTTGTAGAGCATTCAATTGCCCATACGAAAAAGGTTTAGTTTTACCTATAAAGTAGCTCGTTGTCACGTTACAAAATTCCAAACTTTAAAAGAATATTTTCCTATGTTATTTAAATGGGATATAGAAATTACTTGACGCCACTTCTAAATATTAATATTAAGAGCTCATATTTTCAGAGGATCTTTTTCTAGAGATACTCTGACGACTTCTCAATGTTCGTTGAAAAAAAAAAAATATTCGATTTTTTTGATACACTCCAATATATAGTCATATATAATTATATATGATTATATATGATCTCATTAGGGCGTTTCAAAAAAAAAAAAAATTTTTTTTTTCTTGGAACCAGGCTCAAAAGTTTCGTTTAGATGCCAAAATAGGTCTCTGAAAATATGAGCCCTTAATATTAATATTAAGGTTGTCCGCCGCGCACTTTTCGATTTCCCATAAGAATAACACAGGAAAAAAGTTTTTTTTTTGTTCTGATTTTTGCAACTAATGAACTATCAATTGCTCTGGAATTTTGATCAAATATTTTTGTAGAGAATTGAGCGCTCTATAAAAAAGCTCTGATATCATTTTTCGATTACTCAACTCATTCAAAAGTTATTCAAGGTCAAAGTTAAATTCATTGTCAATTTAGCCGTTTTCTTTATAATCCTCCGAATTTTATCAGTTTCAAGGTCTTAAAATGAATAGAAAGTTTATTTCTAAGGTCATGGAGTTTAAAAAAATAAAACTATTATCTTTTGTCATTAAAGATTGCTGTAATTTTATTAAAAAATCATTTTTAAATAGATTGCACATAAAAATAAGTTAAATTTTATTCATGGCCTGAAGAGTTATTCGTATTTTTGCGTTTTCATAATTCAGACCAACAGACAAGTGAATTTATTTAACATGTATGTATATTTGTATAATTTTATTAAACTTTAATTGTTGCCTTACGGCGTTACAATTACCCGTTATAGCCCGGGTATGGCTTTACAAAACTCCTTTTTTCTCTTTTTTAACATCAGCGACTCAAATTTGAAACAAAATAAATAAAATAAAACAAAACAAAACATTAAAAGCTAAGAACTCAAAAAAGACTCAAAAAGATAAAGAAAAATAAACAAAATCAGAAAACCATCATGTCAATCCCCTGTTCCCAACTCTTTCCAGCCATCCTTTCATCCATTCTATCGCCCCTTTTTCCAGATTCATGAACTGTTCCTCATTTCCTTCCCATCTTACAATTTTTTCACATCTACTCGTTACATGCTCCATCGTTTCGTTTTCTTCTTTGCATAGCCTACATTTTCTATCTTCTTCATCTAACCAATATCTGCTTCCTTTCCATTCACTGCCACATCTTATCTTTGCTGCTATTCTTTTTTTCTCCAATTTCCATCCCTCTCTTTCCCTCCAATATTCCGGCGTACCTTCTACTATTCCCTTCTTGTAATCCCGATTGAAGTTTGAGTTCTCTATCCCCGTTCTTCTCTCCTGTTTCTGTGCCGAGAAGTCTCTCTCCTTCAGCTTTCTGCTCATTTCCTTTCCCTGCTGCCACTCCAACTCCAGTCCTGCCGATGACCATCCACATCTCATGAGGTAGCTCTCCCTTTCTACATCTTTTATCTTTCCTAGAGCCGTCCTTCTTCCTCTCTCTTCACAGCATTTTTTCACTAACGTCCTTTCTCCGTTGAATCTTAATTTTTCCTCAAACTTTAACGCTCTGTATCCCGTACTGACCCTTATCTTTTCCAGATCCAGCTCTTCCCTCACAATATACCCTGGTACCTGCCTACCTACCCCCATTATCCATCTTCCGTACTGCTCTTGCAGTCTTTCCACCTCCTTTCTCTCATTCCAACCCCACAATTCTGCTCCGTACATCAGGATGCTTTTCACTATGCTGTTAAAGAGAAGCATCCTCCATTTAAGTCTTCCTCCAAATTTCCTTTCTCCTAATCCCCATACTCTTCCCATGCCTGCCTCGCTTTCCTTACCCTTTCCTTGACGTGGTCCTTCGCACCATTATTTCTTATAAATATATATCCTAGATAGCTGAAATTTTTTACCTCTTCTATCTCCTCTCCCTCCCACTTCCATGTTCTCTTCTTCCTTCTTCCTCTCCCTCCTCCTTTGCTGAATTTCATCATTTTAGTTTTCCCTACATTGACCTCTAGTTTTCTCTTCTTGAAGTATCTCTCCCCTAGCTTCATCATCTCCCTCATTTCTTCTTCGCTTTCTGCCACCATGGCCGTATCATCCGCGTATGCCAGTGTCCAGATTTTTCTCCCTCCTACTACTGCTCCTCCCACCTGCCTACTTCTCATATGATCTTCCATATCTGCCACGTATATATTAAAAAGGGTAGGGCTCAAAGGACACCCCTGTCTCACTCCTTTCTTCGTCCAGAATCCCTCCGATAGTTCTCCCCCTACTCTAACCCTGCACTTCGTCTCCTTGTAAATCCTTCTCACCTGCTCAATAAGTCCTTCCTCTAATCCTATCTTTTCCATTGCCTTCAATAACTCTACTCTATCTAGTTTATCAAAGGCTGCTCTTAGATCCAGAAACAATACATATGCAGCTCCTTCTTTCTCCTTTATTACCTTGTCTATCCAGTGCTTTAAGGTAAATACGTGGTCCATACACCTTCTTCCCTTCCTGAACCCTGTCAGATTTTCCTCAAACCCTTCTTTCTCTTCTACCGACTTCAAGATTCTCTCATTCAAAATCGAGGCATATATTTTATACGCCGTGCTTGTGAGAGTCACCCCCTTGTAACTATCCAAACAATCCTTTTCTCCTTTCTTAAAAATCGGAGTTATAATCCCTTCCCTCCAATCTTCCGAAAAGTATTCTCCTCTCCATACTTCTCTTATAATCTCTCTTATTCTGCACCTGATCTTTCCTCTTCTATATATCCACGCTTCATTTTTTATTTCATCCCCTCCTTCCGCTTTCCCTTTCTTCAGCTTCGCAATCTGCCTGTCAATTTCTTTATCTGAAGGTTCTGTATCCCATTTACTTTCTCCCGTCCTGCCCACCTCCTTTAGAATCTCTGGTTTTTCTCCTACCCCGTCTAATCCTTTCAAAAAGAGGTTTTTCCACTCTTCTATTGTAAACTTTTCTGTTATACCCTCTTTCTTCTTCAAGTCTCTTCCCAGAAATTCCCATGCCTGTTTCTCATTCTTTATCCTTCCCAGTTTTTTCTCCATCTTTTCTTCCCAGCTCTTTCTCTTCCTCTCCAAAAGCTCTCTATATTTCTTCCTCAGCTTATTCAGCATCCCTGCTCCCCTCTTCTTTTTTATTTCTCTATTCAAATCTCTTTTAGATCGCCTGCACTCTTCATCCGACCATCCCTTTAACCCCCTGTTGTTCTTTACTAGTCTTTTGACACAACATTTTCCCACCTGTTCCTTCAGTTCTCTCCACCTTTCTTCACCTCTCTGTTCTTTCCACTCTATTCTTTCCTCCTTCTCTTCGTACCTCTCCAAGTCTCTACGTTTCCAGCATTGAACCCAACGTTGTTTCACCTCTCTTTCTATTACTTTATCTTGTCCACCACTGATTCCTTCTTTTAGCTCTACTATTATCGGTTGGTGGTCCGAGTCGATCCGAGCTCCTACTTTTATTCCCCTTATTTCCTCCCATGATTTCAAATTCGTTATCCCATAATCAATTACTGATCTGGATTCTCCCCTCTCAAAGGTTCATTCCCCTCCTTCTCTTCCTCCTTTATTCCCGTTCATGATTATCCACCCTCTTTTGTCAACCCAGTCTAACAGATTCCTTCCTTCTCTGTTTACCACCGCATCTTTAGACTATCTTTTCTCTGCCTCATTTAGTTCTTCTATGCTCCCTTCCTCTCCTGTTCTTGCATTCCAATCCCCCCCCCCCTATAATCATTCTTCCTTCTGGTTCCTCAACCCATTCGTCCAAATCCTCCAGCATCTCTTTTCTTCCTCCTTCGTTGTATATCGTAACTACGTTCCAAAGTTTTCCATTCACCATCACCTTCCTCCATATTGCTCCATCTTTTCGCTCATGTCCCTTGTCTTTCTCTAATCCTCTTTTTACCCCCGAAAAGATTCCCCCCTTTGCTCTTTCTCTTTTATTTTCTCTCCTCGCAGGTTCGTACTTCCATACCCACTCCTTGGGCAGTCTCCTTTCCCACCATCCCCATTCTTTCTCCTCTACCCATGTCTCTAACAAACCTATGATGTCAAACTCTTGTATATAATCCCAAAACTCCTGGTCCGTCCCTTTTACCCCTGCCACATTCCAAAACACACACCTTACCCCCCTGACCTCTTTTTCTTTTAAATTACCTCTTGCCGTCTGTCTTGTTTTCTGACTATGAGCACTTCTCCTACCACTTTCCAGACCCATAGCACGCCGTCTAGCCAGAGCTTCCGAAACCCCACTTTTACCTCCTTTACTTCCTCCTTATTTCTGGCAATCCATGCTCTTCTATGCAATTCTTTCTGGGCATTTCTTTCCTTTCTCGTTCTGTCGTTCTCTATAAAGATCTTTTTCCCTTTTAACCTTCTCTTCTTCTCTATAATCTCTCTTTTCCCTGCTCCCATCTTCATTCTTACCCATGTCATTTTCTTCCCCTCCTTTCCGATATTTTTGACCCCTTCTATATCTTCTATCTCGCTTTCTACCCCCAGCTCCTCCCTAAAGAATTTTGCCACCTCCTCCTTACCCGTATTTTCTCCTTTATCCCATCCAATGATAACCAGGTTTTTACTCCTTTTTTTCCTTTCTTCCTCTTCCATCCATTTTTCTTCTGCTTCCCGTCTACTGTCTCCTTCTTTTCCTTCTTGATTTTCTGCTTCTCCCGATAGAGCTATATTTAATTCTCTTAATTTGTCTATCTCCTTTTCCACCTTGTCCAACCTGTTCTCCATTGCTTTTTCTTTTTCTGCTATACCCGATTCCAACTACTTCCACTTTTGGTTGTTCCCTCTACATCCTGCTTGCATTTCTGCCGATAATTTCCTCACTTTTAACTCCAATTCTTGGTTCTTCTTTTCCATTTTTACAAACTCCCTCTTTAGCTCATCAAACTGATTCTTTCTTTCTTTTTTCTCCTCGTCCAGCTTATCAAGCACCTTTTTAAAACCCTGACTTATCATCTCTTCTACCGATTCCTCCTTCTTTCCTTGCGAAACTACTCTCACTTTCTGCTCTCTGTCACTTTTTTCTTTCCCTTTGCGCTTAGCTCCCTCATTGCGTGCCCAATCTCTAATGTCTTTTCCATTTAAATCTCCCAAACTGCTCGCCCTTAACTTCTTCCAGGATGCCGCCTTCGGGTCTCTTCCTCGACTTTTCACTACTGTGATGTCCCCCTCACTTCCCTGTGTTTGAAATCCTTCACCTTCTAGCTCCATTAATAATAATTCTGGCGGTTCACCCGAATCACTTTTTGTCTCCCTCTCTGTGCTGGTTTCCTTACTCTCTACACTCCCCACCTCTTTTACCGGCTGCGTATTCATTGCTACTCTTTGCCACTCCGTTCCCCTGGCCCTTACACTATTCTAACCTCCAACACTATACCCCGTACTTTATTCGCTTAAAAAACTAATTAATTGAATCTCCCGCACCCAGATTATTATCTATTACTCTTTTCCTCCGTTTGACACTTCACCTGCTTTAACAATTATTATTTTAAATTCCGTCTTTTTGTTTATATCACCTTTTCTATTGCGCACTGATGTCACACTCACAAAATCCCACTACCTCCTTTCTTTAACATGTATGTATTCACGACTAATAAATATTATATATTAATTACTTTAAACTTATAACAAATTAAAAATGTATTACTTCTCATAAATATGAATTTTTTTTTGTCTAAAAATGATTTTTACACATTTACATGAAATTGATCTTGCTGAAGAGTTGTCTTATTATAATTGGGATATCTCTGCCGATGTTCGCGAACTACTTGCAATAAGTTGTTGCTCATCTTTTGTGAGGTAATTGTTGTATTCCTCAATCAAAGCAACACCTCGTTCAGCTACATCATTAGTGACTTTTAACGTATTGAAATATTCTGAACATTCCTTATATGAATCATTTCTGCACCATGTTGAAATATCATCCTCCAAAAAATCGCATGGCAAATCGAATTTTTTGAATAGTTCTAGCGAATTTTTGGAGACAAAATCACTCAAATCTTTTTCCAATAAAGATTCAAGATCTTGCTCCATAATCTCATACCTTTGACGCATTGGTGTAGAACTTTCCCGATTTTGAATTGCCGCAACAATTTTTTTTCCACATCAACAGATACATTGTCGTCAAATAATGAGATTGTGGTCAATTCTTTATTTAAATACCACAAGTGTTCCATCATTTTCTGATAAGCTCGTTGTAACAGTGGCGAATCAATTTTTTTAGAATGAATCAAATTCTTCATAAATTCTAAGTCATTGTTTGGTGCTTGGATAGCAGAAGTTGAATTATACCATACTTTGATATAAAATAAAATTACAATAAATAATAGTTTAAAAAAACTAAAAACACGCTTTTTATAGAAAACAAAACTAAAAAATAGAAAATAAATTTTAATAAATTTAAATTAAGAATAGTGTTAAAAATTTCAATAAATATAAATTAATAATAGTGTAAATAAAAAAAAATGTATTTTATTTTAAAAAAAAGCGTGGGAGCTTTTTAAGATATTATCAAAATGATAATCACTCTACTCAAAATTCTAAGAATTCAAGGAACACTAAACATAGGAGTAAAAGTTCTTGATAATCATCTCGAGGCTGTGACATCTAAAAAAAAAAAAAAAAAAAACAACAAATTAATCAATTGTAATTTAAAGATTTAAAAGTCTCAATAAGAGTAATAAACCATTTGTACCTGTAGGCAGCTGTTAATGAAAGTAACAATTTCTTTTTTTTTTTTCTATTAAAGTATTTGCTACAGTTTCATCCTCAATTCCACTTTTATAATTGGATTGATCAACTTTGTCAGGTTCGTTTGTATCTAAAAATAATTATTGAAAGTATATTGCAACAGTAATACATGAATAATTGAAATAGCAGTTGATCTAGAACTTACCAACAGGCTCTACGTCCATAGCATCTTCAGTATTTTCCGCTGAGCTCAATTGAACAACATTATCAATCAAACCGAATCTACTTTTTGATCGCTGACCTGATAAGAACAACTTTTTATCATCAGTGAGATATTTTTCGACATTTACTTTGGCAATGTTGAATAAATTTGCCAATTTTTGATGGAAAATTGCTTCATTTTTTTTCTGTATTGCAGACCGTTTTCGTTGAGAAGACTTTTGTAATTTTTTGTCTTCTTCTAATATTTTTTCAAATTTTTTTAACGGATATTTTTTCCCACACGTTGGGATGCCAGCCTCAGACCACTTTTTTTCGAGTTTATCAATTGTTTTTTGAAGACCCTCTATAATTTATTATGAGAATATTTTTATGATAAAAAAATACCGCAATAACCTCTTTTATTAAGGGAAGTTTACGTCCAACAAAATCCTCCACTGGATCACCAATAATATTGATCAATTTATTCATTTTCAATGTTATCATATAATTCACAAAGAAAATTTAAACTTGAAAATTATAAATATTCACTAATTGCTCACGAGTTTCCACAACTTATGTAAACAAGACGTCTATTAAATAGAAATGTCAAAACAATCAATTAATCTAATGAAATGATGACATTTACACTCAGCGCCATCTGATTATCGATTTTTAAATGACAATTTTAAAATAACTGATTACCAATATCTATAGAGCTAACTGTCATTGATAAATTGTTTTAAGTACTTCGTCCATCTTTATCATACAGCGAAAAATATTGGTTAACATCAATCCTCAGAAGTCTAATTGGTAATTTATAAAATATTTGGGGAACATTTTTTCTAAAAACAATATTTTTGCCAAATCATTCAGAAAAACGGCTAAATTGATAATGAATTTATCTTTGACCTTGGATAACTTTTGAATGAGTTGAGTAATCGAAAAATGATATTAGAGCTTTTTTGTAGAGCGTTCAATTCTCTACGAAAATATTTTATTGAAATTCCAAAGCAATCGATGGTTCATTAGTTACAAAAATCAGAACAAAAAAAAAACTTTTTTCCTGGGTTATTCTTATGGGAAATCGAAAAGTGCGCGGTAATATTAAGGACAACCTTAATATTAATATTAAGGGCTCATATTTTTAGAGACCTATTTTGGCATCTAAACGAAACTTTTGAGCCTGGTTCCAAGAAAAAAAAATTTTTTTTTTTTTAAACGCCCTAGATCTCATATACAATTCCATATACAGGGTGTCCCAGAAGTCGCACACCCCATTGTAGGGATCGAAAAAGAAAAATATTCTGAGACGAAAAGTCCTGAGCCATTTTTCAATCAGACGCATAGATAATTAATTATTAATTAATGAAAGTGAGTGAAAAGGCAGTAAGAGACGCGAGAGTGAGATGCCAGAGCTGCTGCCGGCTTCTCGAGCAGTAGACCGAGAGTGGGGAGGAACCGACCGTGGACGGCGGACGTACGTGAAGCTAGGTGGATGTGTGAGATCGTGTACGAGTGCGAGTGTGTCGGTAACAATGCACGTATGAATGTGAATAAGGATATTTTTGAAGTGAAACTTCTTTAGAATCGTTGTGATTTCAAACCTGATGCAACGGAAATGCGACAGGTAAGAGACACAAATACAAAAATGTGTAGGATGAAGCCGGCAAAGAATGAGACATAAATATACACACTATTTTATATTATCGGTCTCTCCTCTTTGTTCCATACTTCGTAGCGTCCCCACTCCCGTCTTCTAAGCATAGTCGCCTGTAATTAGTGAGCCAAAGCGAGAGAGCAAATGTCGGTGTGTATGTATATTGCACACTGTTTAATACTTGCTTGTATTTGAGCATTTAACGTGTGTTAGTATATGTGAAAAGTACGTGAACTAATACTACTTTACACTGTATGCGGCTACGTATTACAGCTTTTCAGTAAGATGTCAGCGTGGTGTGTTATTATTTAACAGTGTGTTTGTGAGTATTTTTATATCTTGTTGTGCTAAATAATAAATTTTATAAGATGCCGAAAACTAATGCCGAAATGTGTTGTCAACATCGACGCAAAAAAAAAATGAAAATAAAATTAAAATTTAAAAATAATTTAATGATTTAATGATTTAAAAATCATTTAGATTTATAGGAAAAAAAAAAAACAAATTTAAGACGGATGAATATTTTTGAATTGTAAAATAAATTGTAAAAAAATTTTAATTTAAAATGATATTAAAAAAAAATAATAATTTAATTTTAAAATAAAAGGTGGATAATTTTTAAATTGTACATATAATTTAATAACGATATTTGAAAATATTTATCATCTTAAAATGAGTTTTTAAAATTAATTTTATATACATTTTTAGAATTTACGATATAAAAAATTTTAGTTTTTTAAGGAATTGATTCTCAATACACAATCGATAGATAACTCGTTACATACTTTGAATTTTTTTTTTTAGATAACCCTCCAGTAGATGTACAGCCAGAAATTCCATACTCATGGTTTCGTCAAAATAAGTTTGCTCATAAAGAATTTAAATTACTAGAATTGAATTTTGCGCGCGCAAGCGCGCGCCTAACTATAGAATTTGCATATATTTTCATGCTTATGATATATTCGACCAATCACGTTACGAAAAGTTTGATGCCACATACATTTCATCTCAATTTTATATTAGGATGTAACATATGTTAAATAAAATATCTTTTAAAATTAATCAAAATACTTTCATTTTTAAACAAATAAACTTTGTAATTATCCTACCCTTGTTATATATATTCATCTCATTCTTTTGTCGATTTACTGAAGTTTCACTTCTATCGTGTGTGAATCGCACACACATCTTTTTTTTAATTACGGGCACAAGATTTGATAAAGTTGACGGAAAAAACTGGAGATTTTAGTAAATTAAATCGGCCATGACCGAATTTTGATTTTAAATTGGAATAATTGTAGTAATTTTGAATAAAAAGCTCAGTAGCGGGGCTCAGGCAGAGGGACAGGGAAAAAGTTACTGAATTCATTTATTCATGGGAAATAATTAGAGTAATTTTTGATTAAAATATCAGTAGCAAGACACTCGGCGACGGTAACTAGATTTTTTCTTTTTTATTTGAAGTAATTAAACTAATTTTTAATTCGAGGGTCAGTCAGAGGTACTAAGCGGCTATGACTGAGTTTTTAATTTTTATTTGGAATTATTGAGGCAATTTAAAATTAAAAAATCAGTAGCAAGGGTCAGTGAAAAGTACTGGGTAGACATGAATGAATTTTTTTTTATTTAAAAAAATTAAAGTAAAAAAAAAAAAATTGTAGCATGCAAAACTGTTCGTCCGATAAAATGTTTCATTTTAAATTACAGTGGATGATTACCACTGTGACTGCTCATGCGCGCGCAGCTTGTTTACAACTCTACACTTACCTACCGGACAGCTGACAAAAATAATAAGAAATTAATTTTTTTTTTAATTATTTTTTTTCGGTGATAATTTTATCCGCGGAGAAGATGTTTGTGACGTTTTTGGTTGAAAAATTTCCGCTCTTTCCAGTGATACTAATATTTTGTGAAAAAAAAATATTAAATATATTAAAAAAGTGAAAAATATAGCGTTCCGCGATTTTCCAATTTTTTATTAAATTTTTAATTAACTTCCGCTAATCCGCTTTTTTTAATTAAAATCACGCTAATTATTTCAAATAAAAATAAAAATTTATTCATAGCCGCCCAGTAACTCTACTTGAGATTAGCTAATAAGTTTTCAATTAAAAATGACTTTGAATATTCGAAATAATAATAAAAATTCATTTATAGCTGCCCAGAACCTCTAACTCACCCTCGCAAATTATTGCTCAATTGGAAATCACTTTAAATACTCTAAATAAAAATCAAAATTCGTTCATTGCCGCCCAGTGCCTCAGACTGACCTTCGCTACTTATTCTTTAATTCAAAACTATGTTAAGTATTTTAAATAAAAATAAAAATTCACTCATGGCTACCCAGTACCTCTCACTGACCGTAGCTACTAATTTTTTAATTTAAAATTGCCTCAATGATTCAAAATAAAATTAAAACTTAGTAATAGCCACTTAGTGCCCTCTAACTGACCCCGATCACTAATTTTTTAATTAAAAATTAATTTAATTATTCTAAATAATTAAAAATTCATTCATGTCTACCCAGTACCTCTCACTAACTCTTGCTACTGATTTTTCAATTTCAAATTGCCTTAATGATTCTAAATAAAAATTAAAAACTAAGTCATAGCAACTTAGTACCTCTGACTGACCTTCGCTACTCATTATTCAATTTAAAATCACTTTAATTATTTTGAATAAAAATAAAAATTCATTCAGTGCTGCCCAGTTCCTCTAATTGACCCTGACCGCTAATTTTTTAATTTTAAATCAAATTTATTATTCTAAATAAAAATAAAAATTCATTCATGGCCACCGAGGGCCTCTAACTGACCCTCGTTACTTATGTTTCAATTTAAAATTACGTTAATTATTTTAAATAAAAATAAACATTCACTTATGGCTACCCGGTGCATCTAACTGACCCTTGCTACTGATTTTTGAATTTAAAATTGTTTCAATTATTCCAATTAAAAATCAAAGCTCAGTCATAGCCACTTACTGCCTCTGACTGACTCCGACCACTAATTTTTTTTAATAAAAATTAATTTAATTATTCTAAATAATTAAAAATTCATTCATGTCTACCCAGTACCTCTCACTAACTCTTGCTACTGATTTTTCAATTTCAAATTGCCTTAATGATTCTAAATAAAAATTAAAAACTAAGTCATAGCAACTTAGTACCTCTGACTGACCTTCGCTACTCATTATTCAATTTAAAATCACTTTAATTATTTTGAATAAAAATAAAAATTCATTCAGTGCTGCCCAGTTCCTCTAATTGACCCTGACCGCTAATTTTTTAATTTTAAATCAAATTTATTATTCTAAATAAAAATAAAAATTTATTATGGCCGCTCAGTTTCGCTAAGTGAGCCTTGCTCCTGATTTTTTAATTTAAAAGTATTTTAATTTTTTTAAATAAAAAAAAATTCATTCATGTCTACCCAGTACTTTTCACTGACCCTTGCTACTGATTTTTTAATTTTAAATTGCCTCAATAATTCCAAATAAAAATTAAAAACTCAGTCATAGCCGCTTAGTACCTCTGACTGACCCTCGAATTAAAAATTAGTTTAATTACTTCAAATAAAAAAGAAAAAATCTAGTTACCGTCGCCGAGTGTCTTGCTACTGATATTTTAATCAAAAATTACTCTAATTATTTCCCATGAATAAATGAATTCAGTAACTTTTTCCCTGTCCCTCTGCCTGAGCCCCG